TTACCAAATTATCATTAAAAGAAACGGTTTAAGCAATGGGCGTTTACATGAGGAGAGCAGCAGTGTACATACGATTCCTCGAAAACAAAATAATGATCTATCTCACCCCTCCCTGCACTGCAGTGAAACAAAGTAAATATCGCGCCAATTTAATGCCCCACCGCGAAGCATGCAGAGTGGTTATATGTTAAAGTTAAGTTGCACTTCATCGCTTGTTGATCGGTATCCCATCGCTTGCAGCTTAATAAAATACAAGAAAAGAAACACGTACAAGAGGTCGGACGAAAATATGCATTAAAATAAAACGTAGCGGAAAAGTAGCCGCACCCACATAATACAGCCAGTCCAGTCGGTCCCTTAATAGCCCTTTTAATTCCTACGATACGTCAAGGAGGCTCAGCGCGTTTTCGATTAGAACCCTTAAAGAAGCGACCTCCGCGGCTAATCGAACCCTATTCAGCCCGGGTCAGGGCGGACAAAGCAAAGGACGCTACCAGAACAAAGAAAAACAACGCCCAAGAAATAAGGAAGCGAGCGAACAGAACTGGTTCGACTGCAGGCTTGATCCCGAAGCAGGAGATAAATGAAGCATCCGGACGCCGGGGCTGTTTTGCCTGAGCCGTCGCGGCCGCCGCCGAGAGGCGCGTGTGCACCATTCGTCTTCGGTGCTGTCCGTGGGGCCGTCACCGGCGCCGACGTTCCGATTCATTCCGAGGCCTCTATGAAGCCGTAACCGCAAAGCTCTTTGATGCGGAGGACGTGCCGCGTTTCTCGACGTCGGCTAAAGGTTCGATGCACCTCGCCACTTTGAGTGTCACTGGACGGCGTCCGCCTCCCTCTTCGGGGACTTGGAGACAACTTCGCGGGACACTTGTCAAAGCGTCTTCGAAGCTGGGACGCGATGAAACAGAATCGCTTCTGGGACGTTGAGACAGTTGTGGATGTCATCGAGGTGCCATATGTGTATTTCTCGCGGAGCGTAATGGAGCGTAACGTAGCATGGAGGCCATATATTAGAAAAATCGTAAGGGTGCAGGCGAGCTGATGAATATTAACCATGTTGAATTAACCTGAGACTGGGGTAGAGAAGAAACATCAAACTCCCTAATGGGACCCATCAAGCAAATGGGACCCATCCCTTCTACGTTTTGATGTTTCTTCTCTGCCCCAGTCTCAGGTTAATTCAACATGGCCATATATTACATGTGGTTGCGTTTTTGCTTGGTAAAACCAGTGTTGGTGATAACGCGTTACAAGTAACGGCGTTATCGGTAACGCGTTACTTTTTTCGGTAACGCAGTAACGTACTCGTTACTTTTCCAAAAAAACATTAACGGGTGAAGTACTTGCGTTACTCACTTCAAGTCACGGGCAACGTAGTTACGTTGCTCGCTAGATCTTGCTCCCAAAACCTGAAAAAAGAAGTACACGTAATTTTTGTTTTTGTTTCTATACTTGGTTTTACCCCAAGTCCAGAGGGAGCCGACACTACGAGCTCGTGGGATCACTCAGACATCGTCAAAAGGGCACCATCATGGTGTTCTTCGTGTTTATGTGCGTGTTCTATCGTCGCTGAGTCAATCATAAAAAAAAAAAGAAAAGGCCCAGTGATTTACGCTTTTGACGCTGCTTGATGGATCCCATTAGCTGGTAGCGTCAAATGCGTCTGGATCAGGGGTCTGGACTTAAGCTGAGAAAAAGTATGGGCGCCAAGTAATTAATTATTGCGCTCATTCCATATACCTTCAAAAAAAATTTTTTTGGCTTTTCCCCGCGCAAAAGATCCCACTTTAGAAAAACCCCAACGCCAAACACCTTTTTGTCGCAGTTTCAAAAAACGCTGTCGGAAAACAAATAACAACACTGTCACCGTCAATTTATGAGCGAAAAGTAACGCACAAGCTGTGCGCGTTACTTTTTATAGGTAACGGTAGCGCGTTCCTTTTATTTTGAGGTAACGTATACCGGTAACGCCTTCCTTTATATTGCAAGTATTGAGGAACTTATTTCGTTAGTTTTTCTTTTTTTGGTTAGGCCTCCAACACTGAGTAAAACCGACTAAAAGAATGATCGTGTTTTAAAGAAAGCATAAAAGCGGGGGAACATGGACATGTTTTTTTCTTACACTGAACACCAACATAAATGAACTGATAAGCGTGCTGGTGGAAGGCATGGAGCTGACGAAAAAATAAGCACGTAAGACAAGGGACGATACGGCAGCGTTGGGACGTACTTTAAGAACATTGTACTTAAAGTACTACTTCAGGTAGGTTTAGAAAACTTGTACTTTACTTTTATTTTATACTTTATTTCTACTTTACTTATACTTTAGTTAATTATTTTTTTCATGTACTTTTTGAGGATAGCACAACTCCCGACTTCAAAGGACATTCTCTGAATTTTGTCTCGCTTAATTTGTATCACAAAATTATGCTTCGTCAACTGTGAAGAAATCTACTCTCACAAGACACGCGAGAGGACGATGCTTCGCTCCGTTTTTACGGGGGGGGGGGGGGGGGGGGGGGGGGGGCTTTCCCGCAGCATTTTAAACTCTCGCTACTTTTCGTTCAGTCAGAGCAAGCGAGGAGGTTAGTAGCATTAGGAGAGGACACTCCTCCACAAAAGGACTGCTTGCGGAAGCTACGGGGACTGCGTCATGCTCTTCTTTTCGTGGCGGGAAATATGGGTATCGCCGCCTGACGGAATTTTTTCACAATCCAGAGTGAGGATACTTTAACTTCCTCCGCTGGTGCAAGCACGTGCAACGCCAAGCTTCTACGCTGTATGAAAATTAAACCATAACCGCCTGGGTGAGGAAAAACAGAAGCGCCCCTTGCGAGACTCTCACCGTTCACCCCCAAGCTGCGGTGGAAGCTACGAGAGCACCGTCATACGCGCAGCCAGATCGCTGCCGGCCTCTGCGGAAATAAAGCTGTTTCGCAGTCCTTCCTTCGTCTGGCCACTCCTTGCACCGCAGACATAACAACTGGCGACGAAGATGGGGGCAACAAAGCCAAGACGAAGGTGAGAAGCCTTGAAGCTGCGTCCAAACAGACAGCGAAACATCACCGCACGCTGCTGGGTACTCGGCGACAGCAAGTTTCTCAAGATGGCATCCTACAGTCATATCGGCCAAGTAGAAGCCTTCGATGAAACTGTGAGTGACTGGCAGTCTTATGAAGAAAGGTTGACGTCCTTTTTTCTGATCAACAAAATACCTGACGACCTCAAGGTGCATGTTTTTTTAAGCGTTATTGGGCCTAAAACGTACAGTCTCTTGAAGTCTTTGACGGCACCTGCCAAACCGTCAGAAAACACGCTAGAGCAACTAACCCAATTGCTGCGAAACCAGCTGTCACCGAGAGTATCAGTGATTGGAGAACGAGCGAAATTCCATCGCCGTAGTCAGTTGGAACACGAGAGTATCGCACAATATGTAGCGGAGCTCAGGAAGCTCTCTCAAACCTGTGAATTTGGCGGTTTCCTAGATGAGTCGCTGAGAGATCGGTTCGTGTGCGGTTTGTTCCGTGCGGACATACAGCGGTATTTGTTTGCAGAGGATAAAACGTTGACATTTCAAAAAGCCGTTGAACGCGCACTCGCGTTAGAAGAAGCTAAAAAAAATGTTCAGGAGGCGCACGCAAAAGAAAGGAGCGATGACTTGCACAAGATGAGTACCGAAGATTCCGTGAAAAGGAAACAGTCGTTCGAGTGTTATCGCTGTGGCTCTGATAAGCATTTCGCCCGGGCGTGTCCGCACATTGCAGATAAGTGCATGAATTGCGGCAAGAAGGGTCACGTTCAGCGTGCATGTCGGAGTGCCAAGAAGAAGACTGTTGGCGGAAAGAAGTGGGTCCGGACTCTTCAAAGCGACGACACATTCAACGTCAAGATGCTGTCACCGCAAAGCCGGCGACCCATCACCGTCGACGTGGAAGTTCAAGGAACTTCCTTGAGCATGGAATTGGACACGGGAGCCACGGTGTCCATAATACCGAAGCAGCAGTTCAAGAAATTTCAGCCTCCTTTGAAGCTTGAACCCACCGAGCTACGCCTCAAGACTTACACCGGGGAAGTCGTGCAACCCTGCGGTTTCGTCAAAGCGTCCGTAAGATACAAGGGTCAAGAGGACGTTCTACCCCTCTACGTAGTTGACCACAATGGCCCGCCTCTTTTGGGCCGCGAGTGGCTCACACGTCTTCGTCTGGACTGGGACAACATCTGCAGCGTACACAAGCTGTCGGACCCTCATCGGTCTGATGCAAGCAAGAAGTACGAGGCACGCCTAAAAGAACTTCAAGCCAAGTACAGCCGCATCTTCGACGGCACCCTTGGCAAGATAGAAGGTGAGCGAGCTACTTTATTTTTGAAAGAGCAACGTCCGAAGTTCCTCAAAGCGAGAAACGTGCCTTACGCACTCCGGTCGGCCGTAGAGGAAGAGTTGCAAAAGCTTGAACAAATGGGCGTCATTACGCAAGTGTCAACCAGTGAGTTTGCTACGCCTATTGTACCGGTAGTTAAAAAGGACGGCACCATACGTGTGTGCGGGGATTACAAAACAACGTTGAACCCTGTCCTAGACACGGAGCAGTACCCCCTGCCCAAACTTGAGGAAATACTAGCTGCGCTCGCCGGAGGCAAATACTTTTCCAAGCTAGATCTTAGCAGGGCATACCAGCAGGTAGAGATGTCGGAGGACTCAAAAAAACTTCTCACACTAAACACGCAGAGCCGTTTATACTGAGAGAGTTTGGCCTTCTTAAGGAGATTTTGACAGTCTGACAACCAAAGCAGCGTAGTCTGACAACCGGGGGATGACTACTTCCGTCCGCCATATTGTGGCTCTGACTCATAGGAACTCTACGCGATTTCTCAGGAATGAACAAGACAAAGAAGTGACGCCATATTGTGTTATCGCGAAATCCGCTTGTTCTAGCGGTCAACAAGCTCCGCCCATCGGCCAAACTCTCTCAGTATAAACGGCTCTGTAAACACGCACAAAGGGCTTTTTGCGGTGAACAGACTCCCTTTCGGAGTAGCGTCTGCGCCCGCGTTGTTCCAGCGCATTATGGACAACATACTTAAAGGACTACCGGGTGTCATATGCTACCTTGACGATATTCTCGTCACGGGAGCAACCGCTGAAGAACACCTCAGGAACCTTGAAGCCGTGTTTTGTACACTTCAGCAGAAAGGTGTTCGCGTCAAGCGTGAAAAATGTGAATTTTTCAAAGAAAGCCTGCAGTATCTGGGGCACATTATCAGCGAGACCGGCGTCAAGCCAAGCGAGGAAAAAGTTCAAGCGTTGCTGCATGCCCCAGCGCCTACTAACATCGCACAGTTGCGTTCACTGCTTGGACTGATAAATTACTATGGAAAATTCACGCCACGGCTAGCAACGCTGGCAAAGCCTTTCTACAGGTTACTACAGAAGGATGCCCCCTGGTGCTGGAATCGGAAATGTCAAGATGCCTTCCAAGCCATCAAGGAAATCTTGTCTTCGACGGAGGTGCTGGCACACTACGACCCGGCACGCCCGCTGCAGCTATCCTGCGATGCGTCTGCGTATGGTCTCGGCGCTGTGCTGTCGCACGTCATGAAAGATGGCACGGTAAGGCCAATTGCCTACGCTTCCCGAACATTATCAAAGGCTGAGGAAAACTATAGCCAGATTGAAAAGGAGGCGCTCGCCCTAATCTTTGGCGTCAAGAAATTCCGCTTCTACATTTATGGTCGGGAGTTTACGTTGATTACTGATCATAAACCTTTGCAAGCGATCCTTGGGCCAAAGAGTGGGATCCCGGCAATAGCCGCCGCAAGACTGCAGAGGTGGGCGGTAACTCTGTCAGCCTACAAGTATAAACTTGCCTACAGGACGTCCGCAGAGAACGCGGACGCGGACTGTTTTTCACGACTTCCGTTGCAGTCCACAGAAGTAGACGACAGTCACGACGAGACGTTTTATACGCTGCGATTGGCATCTCTACCAGTCACCAGTAGGGACATCGCGCGTCATACAGAGCGTGATCCCGTCCTCAGCTTGGTCGTAGACTTCACCAAGAAGGGATGGCCATCACATCTTGATGATAAAGTGTTGAAGCCCTATTTTGACAGACGCAGGGAACTCACAGTCCACGAGCGGTGCCTGATGCATGGAATGAGAGTCGTCGTGCCCCCGAAACTTCAACAGCTGGTCCTGGAGGAGCTACACCAGGGACACCCAGGAATAGTGCGGAGCAAAGCACTCGCCCGAAGCTACGTATGGTGGCCCTCCTTGGAAACGGACTTGGAGAACCAAGTGAGACACTGCACGGCATGCCAACAGCAGCGCCACATGCCAGAAAAGGCACCATTGCACCCTTGGTCATGGCCGACACAACCGTGGTCACGGGTACATGTAGATTTTGCGGGCCCTCTTCGCGGTCGTATGCTACTAGTCATTGTAGACGCGCATTCTAAATGGCCGGAGGTTTTTGTCATGACGTCTACCACCGCAGAAGCGACGATAACAAAACTGCGCGATTTATTCGCTCGGTATGGGGCACCAGAAGCTCTGGTTAGTGACAACGGTGCGCAGTTTACATCGTCCGAATTTAAAGAGTTCCTTAAAGAACAGGCAGTTCGACAGGTTCTCACTTCTGCATATCACCCCAGCAGCAATGGACTCGCAGAGAGATTTGTGCAAACCCTAAAGAACGCACTACGAAAAGGCCCTGCAACTGAAAGTATGGAGGAAACCTTGTCAAAGTTCTTAATGACATATCGCAACACTCCGCATGCGACGACTCAAGAAACCCCATCTTTTCTTTTTTTAGGTCGTCGGCCACGAACACGGTTGGATGCACTGAAGCCGGCTCTGGATCGTACTATCCGAGCACGTCAGTTTGAACAGACTTCACGGCGCAGGGGTGCTAACAGTGTGTTCGAAGTGAACGATGAAGTGTTCGTGCGTAATTTCAGGAGCGGCCCCACATGGTTCCACGCAACAGTACTGCAGCGGACGGGACCAGTGTCCTACGTGGTCAAGGTGCGGACACCGGATGGACTCCGTACTTGGAGGCGACACAAGGACCACCTGCGCTCAGCGTCTACTGCAGTGACAGCGCCGTCCCTTGTGGGGGAGGACGATACCGACACCATCTATCCTGCGTCTGAAGCCGACGTACCACCTCCGTCTACTGTCTCCGCAAGACAAACGGTGCCCGTCACCCCCACTAACGCTGCGCCTCGGCGATACCCACAACGCCAGAGAAGACCCCCCGATCGCTATGAAGCCTCATGACGTTCCAAATTGCGGTGGAGGAAGTGCTAGAGGCCGCTGCCGTTGCTATCAGCAGTACGCGTAGTACTGACGTCACCGGGCGCTCTATAAGAAGAGCACCGTCATACGCGCAGCCAGATCGCTGCCGGCCTCTGCGGAAATAAAGCTGTTTCGCAGTCCTTCCTTCGTCTGGCCACTCCTTGCACCGCAGACATAACAATGACCTCCGCCATTAAAGATTGTGCTAAAAAGTACTTTTAATTTACTTTTAAAGTATGTCGTATTTATAGAACTCTACTCAAAGCACATTGCGCCAGATGTACATACTACTTTACTTAAAGTACATGACCTCTTACTTCGTTTGTAGTTTACTTTAGACTTTAGTTGGTGACAACGAACGAAAAAAAAAAAAATGAGCGCCCTGACGACGCAATTTTAGCGCTGCCTGATGGGCTCCATCGAATCACATAGTGTCGGCTACGTTTAGGCTTAAAGTGAAACAGAGTACATATACGTGATGCTGTTAAATAAAGGAGTACTCTCTCGTTATGTTATCGACTCGCTAATCCTTTTGACGCGTTTCACGGGTGCTCACTTCTGAGGAAGAACGCGCTAAGTCAAGGGCAAAACAATAGGCACGCGAACCACTCGCTAATAGGGAGTATTCACTGGCGGCCATAGCTGTGCGCGCAAGTGCTGAGCGCGTGGTGATGGCGAGCTTCCACAGTTCTTTTGCAAGGCGCATTCCGCACCATCAAGAGTGCCGGTCTCAGCAGCCTATTGATGAGAGCTCGTTCTGAGCATGCACTCTAAACAGCACCCACAAATATGGCGTCCAGTGAATACTCCCTATACAAAGCACAAACGTGCGAGTAGACAATTATGCCCATCAGGTGATAGATCTTGGGGGACCAATCAAACCGCCTTCTCGCGCTCCTGCAACACACGTGCAAGCACTCCTCCGCGTATTGGCGACGTGCGCGACCGAAAGCGTCGCTGTGGTCGGCCTTTCACGATTGGCCCAAAAGCTGACTATGACGTCGGAAAGGGTATACCATCGACGCAAATAAGAGGAATGAAAGAACTTTAATTTCGACGGTGTTGGCAGTGTTCCTTTGAGAGCGCAATGATTTCAGGCTTCCACCACGCTATTTACAAACACCATCGAACTTGTTGTTCGCAAGGTAATGACGTCACAAGGGGGAACCATAGGAGGGCGCCACCAAAACATCTCGCCGCTAATACCTGCATGTTGTGCAGCTGATGGGAACTGGTCAACAATGCAAAGAAGGTGGCGATATCTATTTGTCATAAAGAATAGCGACAGATATTCTTGGCCAATATTTTCGACCGGTCTGTATAACTTCGCTTTTTCCTGCGCATATTTCTGCGTGGCGGCGAGTGTAGGCCCTAACGCGTTACAAGTAACGGCGTTAACGGTAGCGCGTTCCTTTTATTTGCAAACTAAGGAGTAACGTGTATCGTTACATTTTTCCGGTAACGCCTACAACGCAGGCGGTGGCGTATAAGCACGTGTGCGTGCTCCCAAGTGGGTACATTTGATCCGTCATGGATGAAGAAAGAATAAAACAATTAAAACAGGGACAACACCACCACATATTTCAACTAGCAACAGACGAGTAAACTTTCAACATTTGATCCGGTCCGTGCTCCTTGCTTCGCGAATCAGTCCTCGTCGTTTCTTTTATTAGTGGATGGCGCAATTTGATTGGCCGGGGTGAGATAACATTATGTTCGCAACCCGCCCCGCCCCAAGTTTCTTAAGATGTCGGTGACTGTGTCTGGTTCCCTATGAGTGAGCAGTCTGATGTACGTGAGCGCGTATTGCGCGTGCATGCGTGCGTTTGAGTTTGCTTAAGCGTTTCTGCGAGAGTGAGTGTTTTGCGAGTGTAAAAGTGTCTAGGGGCGTGCGTGTGCGTGTACTTGTGTCGCGCACGCGCGCGCGCATTTTCACACGCATGCATGCATAAATTAACCCGGATGTAGCACACCGGTGGGCTGAAACCGAGTAGACGTATACCAGAAGCTTAATCAAATTCGGGAGCAAGAACCACCGAAACGGGCTATGTATGTCCTCGCTGATTTGATTCCACCCTTCGTTGGTGCACCGGCGGCAAGGTGACGAACGGCTCTTCCGTCGAGCATTGCAAAAGCGGATTTCCGGCAGCAACGCCGCATATTTGGCGTCCCGTTTCTGAAATGGCAGGATACGAATCGCATCATCCGAAACCAGCCTCGCAGACAATGCAGTATTAGACGAACCCTTTCGCGAAACCTTCTCGTGCCTTTCACCGCGGCGTGCAAACACTTTCTCCGGAGGAGGAAGAAATGCTCCTTACTCGCGCTTATAGAGGGGCCGCTGTATACGCATGCATGTATACGCTCCAACGCCACGCGATTTTTGAGGCCGTCGATCAGCGTCTCGACTACGCCTGCGAGGCTAACCTTGACAAAGTCGATTCACATTGGCGAAACAATGAGTAGAAACATTCCTCCCATTCGCCGTGTCCGCCGGGGACTGCAGCAGGTATACGCGCAATGCATTTCCAGGACATTGATTCTCCCGGAGCATTCTCCTCCCGAGCCATGATCGCGGCTTTCGACCCTCCACTTTATTACTGTCCCGAAAGCATGCGCCGGCTCCTTATACGCTATATATGTAAATAAAGTAATAAAAAGAAGAACCATAATCATTGCCGTGTCTCGATCTTTCAGGTGCGCTTTTGTAAGACCCATTTGGAGAATCGACGTCGCTTTCTTCCGAATGTTCGTAAGTGTTTTTCAATGCGCGTGATCGTCCGGTTAGGGGTCCTAAAATGAGCCCGGTACTTCTGCTCAATGGCCTTTTCTGGCGTCGCCGAGTTTGTGAGTTTGATTTCCCAACTTGCCAGGTGCATTTGCTGCGCGTTCGAATGGTTATAGGCTGACCATACGCATATCGAAGGAGGTTCGTCGTGGGAAAGAATCGGTAGGCCATCGTTCCTTTCGCGACATTTTGATTATGCACTTTGTTTTGTACTGCTTTTTGTTAATGAGATTTATTTTTTTGTAGAAATATTTAATGCGCTGTTTTTATTGCGTAGTATTCTTTACCATTCTGTCTGACACGCAGCGAATTTCATTTTTGATTTCATAGTTCGGCTTACTGAGGTATTCGGGTTGCATAGCGATTCACGGCGACTTTCGCCAAACTGAACACGCAAAAGATAAAAGAATGTTGTCCCAGGACCTCAGCACCGTGGTGATCTTTTATGTTTTATTGAACTGCTCCCGAATATTTTTGCACGTTAGAATTCACATTTCTATTCGTAAATTGGTGGTATACGGCAGAAAGACGTAAACGAGTTACAAAGATTATTATCGAGAGGCAACTAAAGTCATTTTTCTTAGTTAGACTCACTTCATAGCTGTAGGTTCAACACACTTGCATTTCATTTCATTACATTTCATTTAATTATTCCCAAGGGCATCCAACGGATATGCATTACATGAGCGAGGATTCAAAATGATAGGTAATATTCATATAACCATTATTTAAGAACAAAATTATAATTAAAACCATATAGCAAATCGGTCATAAAACAAAATATGCATTTGCATTCGATGCTTGCAGTTGTACGATTCTATGCACTTTTCTTAAATGAGATGGGATTTCCCTCGATTCAATAAGCAAAGCAGAGTACCAAACGAGCAAAACAAGGAAGGTGTTTGTTCGGCAATGGAATGGTTCTATTTTGCAAGAATGGTTCAGTCTACATGATGTGAAGTTGGCGAATCGGCAATAAAGGAATTTAAAGTGGGATTCGGTATTATGTATTTCATTGAAAAACAAAAGAAGACAAAAAACAAAGCCGAGCGATTTGTCGTCTTTTTTTTTTCTAAAGTAGCAAGGTCGATGTTTGTTTTCAAGGCGGATGCACTAGTTCGTGAACGCGACAGTTGAACTTAAGATTATTACACATTCATAATATAGTTAAGGGCGACCACTGCAATCTGGGTTTCTTAGTTCTCTCTCTCTCTCTCTTGGTACGCTCTAAAAGGAAAGAATGAAGAGCATCCATCTCTATTTGTGAGGGGTGCGCACCAATGCGGTGTTTCTTGTAGTGGTCTCCTTCAGTTGAAGTATTGGCAATGTGAGACCGTGGAAACTGCAGAGAAATAAATGTACGGAGTTTCCATAAGGCAAGCGAGCGCATCCGATGTCGGAAACCTGTCCGCTGAGCACGGGCCGCTCGATAAAAGTGCCGTCACTGCTTGCCGCGGTTGTGAGACATTCCTTGTTCGGATTGGTACAAAAGGGCAGAGCGGCGAATGCAGGAAAGTACCGTTCTAGCTGTAAAGATCTTGCTAATGCACGGCGAAATGGTTTCGTATAAAGACTGCACAAAAAATTTATAACGCTATTAGAAAACTCGAGCACGGAGAGCTCACTTTACAGACTGGAGTTTCACCCGTGTCGGTTCTGATGTGTACAGGTTTTAGGACGGCGTGCATTCTTCTTACTGCATGATGAACGTTGACTACATCAGGCTATTAGCCTTACCGCGCGGGCAATTCAAATTACCATTCGACGGCGGAGATATCGCACGTAATTTAAAGCGGACAGACGTTTCGCTCTATTAACGAACGCCCGTACGACAAATTCCCTTGAATTAAAATATGTTTTTTTTTTTATCAGGTAACAGCTGTGCGTTTTGTAAGGATACGAAAGCTCCATACACCACACACTCTGTACCGCCGACATATCTATTGCTTTAATAACTCTAAAAGGACGCAGTTTTTTTTTTTTTTATGTTGCATTAAGAACGGAAACAAATCTGCTCTTAGGCAAATTCCCAGCGGCGTTCTTCGCCCCATTTATTTCGCCCCGCGTGTTTTAACTGAGGAAAGTTATTCTCGGATCTAACTTTAGTTCACAAACTTCTGACACTGATGAAAATTTTACGGGCAGCGCGAAGTAAAATTAAGAAAAAAACAACGCATAAAACAACTTACATATCCCGTACGGTACCGCACGCTTCGCAAGAAAAATGGCAAATAAGGCTGAAGAAAATATAAAATAAAAAAATAAAATACTTTGGAGGTAAAGATAAGAACTAATGTCTGCCTCCTTCCCATTTCCTTCTCAACGCTCACTCAAATGGCGAAGAATTTTAAC